TGAATTGTGCTAAATAAGTACCTTGGTCTTCTAATAGACCGTAGGCTCACCTGGAACCCGCACTTTATGTACGTTAAATCAAAGATCGAGGGTCGGATAGCTAGTATGTACTCTTTGATCAACAGAAGATCAAAAATGAGCCTTGAAAACAAAATTACCATCTACAACACGATGTTCAAGCCTGTCATCATGTATGCTTCGGGCGTCTGGGGACGAGCAGCTCCCTCTAACATCTCCACCTGAAGAGATTACAAAATAAGTTGATACGGATGATTGTGAATGCTCCGTGGTTCGTGTGGAATGAAGCCATCCACAGAGATTTGCAGCCGCCTTTCATCAAGCAGTCCATTCAGTCGAGAAATCGGCGAGTTTTTGATAGCGCGGAAACTCACGAAAATCCGTTAGTGAGGGAAGCTATAGATTATACTGTAGACGACCTCTCCCGATATAGAAGGCCACGATACTCCGTCGAATGAGGCCCTCATGTTCCCCGTTAACGGATGAACAAATTTTTCATCCATCCCATCCCATCCCGTTCGTGAATGGCGGTACTGATGTCTGAGGAATTTTATATCGCCACCATCTCTTTAATCATGAACCCATTTGTCTCCCTGACAAAAATCAGTTGCAAGACTGAGGGAGCTAGGCTCCAACCTGATTGAACTGAGTTGACTTCGAAATATGATCTCGAAGCCTACGCACATAACACTGATGATGACTGACGCGGTAGCAGACGAAACGGTTGGTTTCATCTGACAATGGCCTTCAGTCCGGATTCTGTTCTTTCCAAACCACGGAATACCTAGAAACAAAATGAAATATGTGAAAGCTGAATTGGCACACTGAAAAGATTTCATGAAAACTCTAATACTACAATTGAGAAAAAAATGTTGTGTCCGAAGATTGGTTGGCATATAGTTCGTTCTTTCTTCAACATTTTTTTTCACGAGTCCAAAAGTTCGTCAGAATTGCTAGGCTATGACGTTGTTGAAGTTTCGAATTTTTTTCTCGAAAAAAATCAACAAGTAGGTACCTTAGAAAAATATTTTTTCAAAAAATATGCTCTCGTAGTTTTTCAATTCGACTTTTTACATGACAAACTTTTGGATCGAACGTCTCATGAATTTTGAAGTTTTTCATTCACTTGATTCATTGATGAAAATCTAGTTTCAACTTATGATTCATTTCAGATCCAAATAGCATTCTTGATATGCGCCTGTGATAAAGTAGAACGCTCAGCAAGGAATATCATTGACGAATGTTATATTTACTACGGAATTAGCAACAAGCAGTTGTCCAATAACGAACTGTTACTCTTTGTCGATTACATGGAAAATTTGGCACCGAAATTCGTAGCTGGAGGTATGCTACGAATCAACAGAAGAACATTATTGCCTGTTCTATCGTTTGTAACATCGTATGTTATACTTGTTATTCAGCTGAGCAAATAATTCACACTATTCAATTGAGAACTATAAAATGTTATAAAATTCAGGTACTCAATCAAGCCAAGTACCTCTATTAGTACCTCCAGGGGTGGTATATGAGAGCTAATGTGGTAAACCATTGTTAGTTCATTGTATAAGTTTGAAAATGTCCGTATAGGACGAAACTGCAGTAGCGTTAGTTACAAATAAAAGTGTACAAAAACATAGAAAGTTTCATTTCTCTTTTCTTCATTATGATTTCCTACCACGTAGTAACGGCTAAACCCATCAACGATTAATCATGATTTCGCATTAGATTGATTCGAATCTTCATTCATTCTAATCCATAATGGAACATTATTATCACTAATCGTTTCCTACATACATTTGATTGAGTTTGTAAAGGCATCAAATGGCGCAAGAAACAAAAGTCACATTAATTATGCAAATGAGGAAAAAACAGCAGTCTAGCTAGTGAGAAAAATCTGTTCACGATTATCAAAAGGAAATATCAGTTCAAGTATATTTTTTCCGCAAACCCTGTCTACCTAATAATGCAACGAACGATAACATAAAAGTGAATACTGGGTCATTGCATTACTCAGTGACGATGAAGTACTTGTAACAGTTGCTGAATATTGCATAAGTTTCATTCTTGTGACATTTGGGTTCAAAAATATATCTTTCATGCATCAAAATATTGGTACGTTGTTCTTTGGTAAACAACAAATAATATACCTAGGGAAAAATTGTCAAATCGTTCCAATATTTTTGAAGTCTAGAGTGAATGTTACTTTGTTTCCTATATAAAGGAAGGTGAATTCCATTTCATTATCAGTTCTGTGTAGCTTTTGGTACTCACACACACATATTCCAAGTACAAGATGATTGCACAGGTGAGTTTAACTTTGAAATGTTACATGCATGTGAAATCTTCTTGGGAGCTGGTTGGAAAAAATATTCTGGTTGATTTGAACTCTTATTCCTGAAGCAATTTGCTTCACAGTATCTTCAGAAAGGTTTTTTGCAGACTTGAATTCTTGTAGATTCTATCAGCCAACGAAAATCAAAATAGGATAACTATATAATTATCAAAAATCAATATTTTTTGCTAAGATGCAAAGCTTATGAAATGTATGTCAAACTCGGTGAATAAAATTCACTCATTTATCGAATAGGTTCATTTCAACAAAATGTTTGTACTCACATCGATAATTCGGTGATAGTTGAGATCATGACAGGCATCAAAATAGTGCTTTGCTTAGAAAATTTGATGCTTTCAAAATCTTCTCACTTAGATTTCACAAATCACGATTTCAACATGATACGACCTGTCGAATCAATGTATTCTTGGTCTCATGGGAAAATAAACTTTGGGGGTATTGTTACTCCCTAAAATTTCAAAAATTATATTGTCTTGTAGTTACTAGTGAATATTCTGAAACTCACTTCTGGGCTTCAGATAAAATTGTTATGGATATTTTTTCATTTATTAGATGCTGATATCACCAACCGACAATTGGGTACTTTCATGTCTCATTGTTTTCAATTCTGACATATTTTGAACAAAAAATAAATCATACCGTATATCATACCGTATAATGTATAATGTCCTATACCTATCTCTATCTGTTTTCGAGATAAAAAATGAATTGTGCTAAATATGGTCCAAAACATAGCCTCAATTGAAATTAAGTACATCAGTACTCTCAATTCATGAAAAGTTGATATTTTGATGATAGTTTGGACAAACTCGAAATATTCAGATAACACCAAGAAATTGACTCCATATCATACAGGGCGTGCTAAAATTACTATTATTTCCATTGTGCATAAAAGTAGTC